ACAAACCTGACTGCCCTGTCCCCTACACTGACCCACCCCTCACCACCCTGCCACGAACTGCTCCACTCTGTCTCTTACTGCCCTGCTCCATCCCACATGGCTTTACCCTACCCCAACCAGATCAACACTGCCCTGCCCCACACCATCCCTCACCATCCCACACCATCTTAAACCATCCCAAACCATCCCACACCACCCTGTCCTGCACCATGCAGACCCACACTGCATCACTCCATCCTGCCTCCACACCTCTTCTCACCTACCCCCCATAGACTCCATCCTGCCTCCACACCTCTTCTCACCGACCCCCCATAGCCCAATCCCACCCCGTGCTGCTCAGCCTCACCCCACACCCTGTGCCCTACTGCACTGTGCCCCAGGGGCCAGCCAGGCCATGGGGCACCTAGCCTAGATGGGGCAGCAGCACTCACATCGAGTACAGCAGCCAGCTGCCTGGCCTGGCTCGCTAGCTCCTTCAGCTGCACGTTGCTCTCCTGCAGTGTCACCAACTCTTCCTGCCTTTGCGTGAGGGTCTCCTGCAGCTGCAAAGGACAAGTGGGGACGATATGGTTGAGATAGCCCTGCTGCCCAGGGGCCGGGAGCTGCAGCACACCAGGGCCGTGCAGCTCCCTCAGCAGGATGCAAGGGAGAGAAATCCAGTGCAGGCCCTTGGGGAGTGCTTGGGGGTCCTTACCTGGCTGTTTGCCTCCAGAGCATCTCCTAGTGCTTTCTGGTGCTGGTCAGCCACGCCCTTCCAGCACGAACTGGAGGAAGGCAGGTGCTGTGGGGGCATCTGCACCAGCCTGCTGCTCTCCAGCTCTGGGGTGCAAGGTACAAAGGCCACCTCCTCGCCAAGTGAGAAATCAAAGTCAGTGCAGTCCAGTGATGGTGGCATTAAGGTCGATGCATCTGGAGAGAACAGCCACAGGTGTTAAGATGGAGGGCATTTTCACGTCCTCTCTTAGCCCTCAACCCAGCACATCGTCAGGTTCTGAGCAACCCTCCGATATCTCCTGACATGCTTTTACTCCAGTGTGACAGCTCTGCACTTTAAATCTGATTGGATTTAATTTCCATCTCACATGGGGTAAAGCTCAGTGCCAGCCCAGGTCTGTCTAAGGGGATGTGCAGATACACACTGTCTTACAAACTGTCCAAGGGTGAGATGACCACGTGGTGAGTGCGCATCCAAAAAAAACAACAAAAAAAAAAGTAAAAGAAAAAGAAGAGCCTGAATGCAGCTGCTGATGTACACATGCAGGCATGTTTGCCTCTGGTAAGGAAAAGTATCTACTTGCCAGATATAAAATCATCAACAGCATCTCTGAACTCCTGGAAATCAAACTCGGGTTCATCCTGGAGGCAGGTATTCTGGGAGGAAGGAAGGAAGGAAGGAAACGTGCCAGTGAGCAGGGCCCAGGGCCCAGACCTGCCTGCGTTGTCCACTGCTGCCCATACCTCTACAACACCGACTGCTGCCTGTGTTCTGCATCTTCCCAGAGCCCCCGCACCCCCAGGCCCCTGCTCCCTGCTCTGCCCTTGCCGTTAACCCATCTAACGTGTGGGACAAGATGCTGTCCTCCACTGTGCCCATTTCACAGGTGGGAAGCCTGAGGCTGGAGGGGGAGATGCCAGCACCCATTGGCTTGAGG